CAAGGAACGGGGGTGTGCCACAATTCTACAATTAAGAATTCTGGACCCAAGATTGCTGGGAGACGTTCAATGTGACAATCTGGAATTCAAGATTCAAGACTTCAAAACACTCTTTTCTGGAATCCTGGAATATTGAATCTTGCGTCCTAAAAAAAACACATCTGGGATTCAAGATTCAAGATTCCCGGAAAAATATTATTTTGAAATCTTGAATCTTGAATCTTGAATCTCATTTTTTTTTAAACAAATCTGGGATTCAAGATTTCAACATAATCATTTTCTGGGAATCTTGAATCTTGAATCTTTTACAAATTCTGGGATTCAAGATGCAAGATTCAAGATTTCAAAATAATCTTTTTTGGGAATCTTGAATCTTGAATCCCATAATTTTTATTTGTATTTGGTTCTTAAAGAACAAATCCAGGTTTGTCCCAATACTCTCGGTGTTCAATGAGATTCTCGGAAAAGCTTTCCGTGAAATATTTCAATCTCGAATCTCAATCCAGTGGTAAATTACGTTCGATGCTTTAGAACAACTTGATCATTTTTAGGGTTCGACCAGGAAGGATGACTCTCAGGAAAGTTGTTGTTTGTGCACTCCTCGATATTGAATCCTCAATGCAGTGATAAAGCACTTTCAAGTGTGAGAAGAACTTGAATGTTGTTTGGGTTTGGCCAGGATTGACAATTCTCAGGAAAGTGTTCTGTGTAATCTTCAATCTTGATTTTTCCCATCCAGTGGTAAAATACTTTCAAGTGCTTAGCGATCCAGTGGAAACACTTTCAAGTTATTAGTTAGACAAACTTTCAAGTGCTTGTGGTGAGCGATTTGCTTCATGTTAGCTATGAAGCATGTTGACCCTTTTCCAGGAGGTAAGCAAAGGTAGGTGAAATGCTCAAAAACACTGTATTTTACAGTTTTTCTGAAGAGGCGCAGGATCATTAGGGGTGCTATATATGTGTGATTATGTGTGCATGTATGTATGTATATATAAATATATGTACATATGTATGTATGTTCACCGCCACCCCGCCCTCTTGAACTACCTCTCCACATTTGCTCATCTACTACCTTCGTTTTTTGAGATAGAACACATATGAAAACATTTTGTTGTCCTGTGCAAATAGAACTGAAAAATACAACTGATGCTAGAATCCATGCTTCGAAATAGTGTTAGAATTTGACCTCTCTTCAAATTTCCTTTTGGAACACCGTCTAACAAGTTGAATTTCGGACCTTTCTTATGCTGCAAAAGGGCCAGGATATAAATGGCCGTGGGTCAACACCAATGGTACCATTTTGGGGTAGGTTCACCACCCATTTTAGTCCATTTTAATGGGGATTGGGATGTTCACTGGGGGTACGGGGTTTTGACCCATGGCTAAATAACACAGATCGTATTTCGAATTTCCTTGTAGAATTCCCTTAAATAAATGGTTAGCCATATTTAATACAAACTAAATTTGAGAAGTAGTCTCTATTCAATGGTTATTATGAAAAGCTGATTGAGTTGTGTTCGTATTAGACTATATCTAACGCTTAGATTATATTTGGGAATAAGCTCCTAACTTCTTTTGTTGAAGATTAGTTGGAGTTTGCCCGAAACTATACTTATATTCTCATGTAGCTCCTATTTGGAAAGGATTTGCTTGCATAAGCTGTAGTTGAGCAATGTTGAACATAAACACATTCTCAACAAATTTATGCTAACCAAATTACATTGAGAATTCCAAGTCTAGTTGAAGTAAGAGCCAATTTGGAAAGGGTATCATATTGGGACATTTCGGATCTTGCCATGATGGACTGCAAGCCCATTCGGTTGTGCTTAAAATCTATTGCAAACAATCTAAGCTCTACAGCCTGCGCGCTGAAATCAAGCAAAACCTAGGCACCAGGGGGGGGGGGGCGTTGCATATATATATATATATCTATATATTATATATATATACACATAAATGTGTGTATATACCTATATATTTATATAGAATAAATATATTTGCCCGTGCACGTATATATTCTGGAGCAGCCGTGCGCGCGCCCCCAATTTTCGTAATTGGCAGCCAACCAATGGAACTGCAGAACTGCACTGTCCAGTCAGCTACCTTTCGAAAGGTGGTTTTGACGGGTTTGGCATTGCCTGGGATGAAACATCCGCCGCCAGTTCTGAATTCACCGATTTCCTGCAAGTTCTGAGTTGCGAAGAAGCAAAACGGCTGCGAAAGACGCGGCAGGCTTGAGTGATCCTTTGGGCAATCCATCGGCGCAAGCTTGCTAGTTTCGGAGATGTACCTTCCCAGCAAGAAACATGGAAGGTGTTCAAAACCCTCTTCTCAATATAGGTGGACACCTGCGTTGTTTCCATCCAAGGGCTCCGAACCCTATGAGGCCTTTGCGGCAAGGCAACACTTTTTGCGGTCAAAGTCTGGCCCAACTTTGCTTGACCATGGGGTTTTTGTTTGGCGAAACCCACGAAACCGAGTTTGGAAGGGAGCCTAGCCTCACTGGCTGGGGAAAGCGTCCAATTAAAGGATCCCCAACAAAATGCCGAGATCGTCTTTCCCGCATTTTGGTCGGGCTCGCCAGCCGCCTGTGAATTGGCGTCCCCTTTCAGCTATGCACCAAGGACTTCGCCCAGGTCCCTCCCTCCCGTTTCCCCTCAAACGTGAAGGTTCCTTTCTTGAAATTCGGCTGGCGAATGCACTTTGACCACAGGCGCCGTGACATGAAGGTCAAATCATTTTGGGTGGCTGGCCATGAGTGGCTGAGCGGTCCAGGGAATCAGTCACTTGGCGCTGATCTCCCTGAAGTTATACTCTTGACATCCTGACATGGTGGTAAACAAGATTTTGTTGCATGCTCAATTTTCAGTGACACCACGGGGACCCCCCCAGAGTCTGCAAGATAAAGACGGCCTGGGATAGGGACGTTGTGGGACGTTGCTTTCTTGCCAAAGAAAGAGTCATGGGCACCGCCTTCGGTACTTCGGTAGGAGGGCCATTTTCCGCAGGCGCAACTTCCGGTTTTGCTGGCTCTTGGGTTGTTTGCTGAACTTGTATGGTGCGATTCTGGCAGGTGCTGCATTGCAGCATCATTCCGCCGCCCCAGTTCAGCGAGAACCGAGTCTCCTGGGACCTGCGTGAAGCCCTAGGTGCGTGCAACTTGCTTCGCTTCTTTGGCCGTTTTTGGTTTTTGAACACCTCCAGAGCTCAGGCAAAACAGGGTGAAGCACTTTTGAAGCCATTGGCCCTGAATCAGGCAAAATGCACGGGTATGGAACCATAGGTGTCCTTTTTGGTTGTTTTGGTCGAAAAATAGGCGGCGATTCCTGGTTTACCTGATGCTCAGGACCATCTATTCCCCTAAAAGGACTCCTATGTATGGAACCGGAATGGGAGAAGGGGCTTGCTTGAATTCTGGGGCGATCTGGCAGGCCGCATGCCCTACGAGATTGGGGTGCCATTTGTGGAGGAAGCCAGGACCATGTCTCCACTCCGGGAGTTTCATGGAATTTCTGGGGGGAAGTGGGCTGACACTTGCAGGATTGAATCCTGTGAAGGGACCTCGGTGCACTTGCGCCTGACCTTCTTCCCTGGTGGGCACACGGCGGCGCCACCGAACCATGCGGCAGCGCTGCATTTGATGCATGGTGTGAAGTCTGGAGATGGCATGCTGTTTCCACCGGAACTGCGCCACTTAGACCCGAGGTATCTCTATGGGTCCTCCCATTGCATGGCTTGGAGGAGCCGGGGCTTGAAGAGAGTCGAGTGTGGACCCTGAGGGTTGGTCTCGCAGCTAGAATTTAGGCAGCTTTATGCTGGAAGGGCTTGATGCAACGCATGCTTCAGTTGCCTGGGCCGTGCGTGTTGCTTCGGGCTTCGGGCAACTCACGAAGTGGGAAGCGGATGATTCTGTGACCAGCCCGAGGATCGCAGAGCCCTGGCTGAGACTGGTGCGAGAGGGACATCGGAAGGCTCATGAGGTTCGGCCCTGGTTTGTCCCACGTGTCTCACTGTTAACATAGGGGGACCCCAAAGTGGCTGGTTTTTTGCTTCTCTTCATTTAAACAAGCCTGAAAAGGGTACCTGCATGCCTTTTCACACATGTCCAGCGGGGGAACGGCGATCTGCTTCCCGCTGCAGCCCATGGCAATTTTGGCATTGTTCTTTCGGTTGGAGTTGTTGGCATGTATCCTGTCTCATTACATCGCGAAACCGACGATCAAGCCGAAGCCCGCTTTGGGGGTGCCATGAACGGCCATTCCGCGAACTCATTTCATCCCCCAGTGGCGCCCAAGGCTACTCGTGCACCGTGGACGGCAGCGCGGCTCAGCGCTCCTCTGGAGAGTCCGTCCTGCACTTCCCCCGGGTGGAGGTCTTCGGAGCGGGCCTCGGAGGTTTCCTTCAGGGGGTTTCTTACTGTGGATGCACGAAATCCTGCACCTCTTAAAAATCCCTGGAATGATGACCCCCCTGTAAAAAAAAAGCAAACAATGGTTCTAATGGTTTCAAAGTGGTGCAGAAATTTGTCCATCCACAGTATGGCCACTGCCTTTCCATGGGGCGGGGTGTTTGTGTTGCCAGGGCTCGAGATCGACCCAGGAGACATCAACCTGTCAGTTTGCCGTCTCCCAAGCCCTGATGCTCCTAGACGGCTGCGTCGCTTCAGTGAGACTTCTTGATGCCGCGCGATGCGCGGCTGTGAAGTGAGCTGCGCGCGCGCGCCCCCAACTTTCCATTGCTTCGCCATTTGATTTGCGGGCCGTGCCGAGATAGACGGGATGCTTCGGCACACCGCGGTTGGCCAACTAGCCCCACTGCAGGACTCGCGAAAGCGAAAAAATATTTTTTGACCACGTCCTCCAGATACACTTGGAATGGTGCTGGCAAGCTAGCACATGCAGATGAGTGTCAAAGAAACCAGCAGGCAAATGCCCGAAAAAAGACCATGGATTTCCTGAGTAGACTGTCCGATTCGCCAGTTTCTTGGTAGACAATGCCAGGATTTTCTGGTGGTCTCGGGCCTGTGGCGGAAGCGCGACATCCTGCCGGCAGGGGCCTCAACTGCCATGCTACGGTCCATCGAACCGCAGAAATGCCCAGCGCAGGACATGGGTTTGTTTCAAAAGTGGGGGGGCCGTCAAAATGTTTGGCTATCTCTTGGCATCCCTTCTGGCATCCCAAAAGCACAGTAACGCACGGGATTCCACATGGAGATGAGGTTTTGCACAAGCACAAGCGCCCAGATCACAGGCGGGAGGGAATGGCGCTTGCGCCAAGCGTAACTTGTGTCATGTGTCCCGGGTTCCGCGACTTTTTTTGCTTAAAGATCTGTCAAGTGTCCCATTGGACCCCCAAAATTCTGGCCAAACCCTCACGGGAACTGAAGTGTCGGGGAAAGCGAGTTGGTGGTTGGAAACCTTTGGAGCCGTTCCGGAGCTGGGTGTTCCAAGTGGCACGTCTAGACTAGCCTTGTAAAAAGGCTACCGATTCGAGGGGGATGTAAGAGGGGCGAGAGGGGCGGAAGTGGGTGTGGACTAGGGAGCCCTGAGGCCCAGGGCCTGGGGGTTCATAAATTCGCTCGCATCCCAAATTCCAAATTCCCCTCATCCCCCCCCGAAGATGCCTCGATCTGGACGTCTCCCCTACCGCAGAGCACCCCCTCCCTAACCCGAGAACTTACTTCGATCCACTCGTCCTGGACGTGAACTCGACCACTCGACCCAGCCAGGGCCTCGAAGCGCACGCTGCTGGACCTGGTGCCTTTGCTGCTGAGCCAGGCGCGGGCCATTTCTGGGTTCTTCTCCTACAGGTGCGCTGGGATCTGTGGGCGATTTTTTGAGGATCGTTTGGTGTTTTTTGTTGTTTTTGTGTGTGTGTTTTTTGTTTGGCCTTTTTCGATTCTTTGCGGCTCCGTTGAGGCTCTCTTTTCTTTCTTTTTTTTTGGGGGGGGGGGGGGTTTGGGGGCACCTCGAGAAAAGGACACTTCAAGGATCTCCGTGCGTAGGAGGGGAGGCTCCCTTTTCGGAGACATCTCCGTGCCGATGGGCTCAGGGCCCTCTCGTCCTCCAACATCAGCTGGCCATGGTTCCCCTACGCCAGGGCCCCGAGGGCTCGGGGTCCCCACGCGCGAAGGGGAACGTGAGTGTCCCAGTGGCAAAGAGCTACCCTTTCGCGAAAGTGGACGTTTCGGGCCTAAGGAGGGCAGTCCACCCGTGATCGTCCACTTCCATGATTGCTGGACATAGGGTATGGTTGGCAATTCGCAATTGATCGGATGGGCGGCTACCAGGTGGTTTGGTTGCAGAGGCGTTTGTGCGAGTTGAGGTATGGCGGTGGCAGCGGGTGGCAGTACGAGCGGCCCTCAGTGCTCCCAAAGGCAGAGCGACAGAGTGGGAGGAGCCGTTTCGCCGAAGTTGGCTATTTGAATGTAAAAGAAATGGGATGGACAAAACAAAAAGCAAATGGCAGGAGCCTGATTTTCACAGGAAGGCGGCCAGTCCCTCTTGCTGTGAGCGGGGTCCCCGCCTTCCCCTCAAAAATGAAAGCCCAAAGCCCGGTGGACGGGTTTATCACTCCATAGTTTGAGGTCAGCAGCGTCCCAAGCCTTGAACGAAGCGGGCAGCAAGGAGTGCGGGCCTCAACTAGCTTTGGCCTGCGGGGTATTTGGGTGTGTGTGGCTGGCTCATTTGGAGTGTGTTTGCAGGGAAGCTCGAGCAAAACCACCTCTCTTGGGCTAACCTTTGATTGGTATGGGTCAAAACCAGACCACGGGAACGCAGGATTTGTTTCCATTTACCAGGCAGCCCATTTTGGGTACCGATTTTTGACCTACCCCCCCATTTTGACCCCTGACCGCCGAGTTTTGATCGGCGCAGCTTGGAGCTGTACAGGCTGAGAACCGGGGACCGCGCCGGGTTCGGTGTGGAGCTTGCAAACAGCTGACCTTGGGGGTCCGAATCCCGTTGGTTTGTTCTCCCCTCCTTGGGACAAAGGCCAGAATCACCCCACCAAGATTACGATCTGGTAGTTGGTTAGTTGGTGGCTTGGATGGGTGGTTTGGATTTGGATTTGAACCCTGGTTGTCAAAGAGGTAAATGGGAAACCACCCTAACCTCCAAACTACCGACCAAAACCACCAATTGGATTGAATAAGTAAATCCTTTCCTAAATGAGGTCCCCTGTCAGGTCAAACGTGGTCAAACCAATTGCACCTGTGGCAAGTCACCCTGTCAAGTGCTATGTCAGTACTGAATTCCGAAGCTGGTCTTCATAGGGTTTCATACACCCCCGCTGGTGCAGGATCTTGTCCATCCACAGTCGTCTCTAAACGTGTCATTTGTTAGTCCCCACGTCGAAATCTAGCAAATGATCAGTTTAGCTTAGGGACCATAGCAAGTTCCAGGCATTTCGAGTGGATCAGTCCGGCCTTCTTGCAAATTGAAAGGCCCTCAAGCGCCAGAGTTCAGATGGGATGGGCAAGACCAGAGGAAGCCCTGAAGTCTGACGGGCCAGGTGGGCAGATGGCCGGGCCGGCCGCAGGCTGCTTCAACACAGCCGGTGTCAAACTCGGGCCGGGTCGCGGGTCCGGGGGCTGTTTGGGCGTCGAAATGGAAGGGATCGTCTAAACGGTTGGTTTTTTGTTCTCAGGTACCCCTGAATTGGTGGCTTGGATTGGTGGTTTGTGGATTTGAACCCCTGGTTCTAGAGGGTAAATGGGAACCATCCCTTAACCACCAAACCACCAATCCAAAGCACCAATTGGAGAGAAGCCGATGTTGTGGTTCTCCCCCCCAAAGACTTGCGAGTAAGTCAGCGAAGGCTGCAAAGATGTGCAAAGATGTGCAAAGATGTGCAAAGCGCGCGCCGAGGCAGCCAGCTCCGTGGCTGGGCTCGAGACCTAAAAGGGTAAGTCTCTTCAGTCCACAGGTCCTCAGTTGCAACATCTTCACGCGAACAGATCAGGGCCATGGGATCGATCGATCGACTCGGGCTCGCGGGCTCGCGGCTTTTCTCACATCCCGAAACGACCGGACGCCATGGCGTCGTCGGTGCCGCCGTTGAACGTCAAGGATCTCCGCCCTGAGGATGCCGAGGCCGATGCCCGGGGGATCGGGGAGGGCGCAAGGTATGCCACGCCCTAGCCACTTTCCTGAAGTTCAGTTGTGGTCAGGTCCTTTCGGCCTACTGCCAAGGTGCATTTCGGTTCCGGGAGCTTCAATAATTTGCAGAAGTGCAGCGAGCAACCTCTACACAGGGCCCTGTTTGAGGGCATTCGGGCGATAAATGGATGGCGCCGCAATTTTCCTGGGTATGCAAAGGGGATGGCGAATGACCAAAATGGGATTGAATGGTGCAATCTACTTTCATCAACTGAACAAGTGTATGGGTTGGCGAATCATATGTCCAGCTGCTTGGGGTTCGAGTCTGCGAGAGCATTGACTCCGACATTTCTCAGGCGTCGCCGAGACTGAACGAGCAGATGACCCCGAGGGCTCTTTGGGAGATGGTCAAGGAGGACGACAAATGGGCTCCTTGGAAGGCTGTGGGGTGTTTTTTCGAAGGGAAGCAGGTTTGGGGGGGGTCCGGTGTGGTCCCCTTTTAGTGGGAATACGGCTAGGTGACACTGCCTTCCAGAATCGGCGGCCGCCGCCCGGAATCTCTTGTAAAGGTCAGACTGGCGTTGGGCACACTCACCAAATGTCCACTTGTTTCTTTCTTTTTTCTCGGACATGGGTCTTGGAAACCAATCATTGGGAGATGCCAAATGTTGACTACCCCACTGCCCAAACAAAACTTTGAGTGGCCATCAACCCTGCTGCGTCTTGCAAGCAATGGCTGCAGCAAGGTTGGTAATGGGATGCTCAAGTGCGTGCAAAGAGTTGGTCTGCCTTTCCCGGGTGGGGCAGCTTGGGAACAGGACGCCGAGACACAACAGGACCCTCCGATATGCCGTGCCGAGGCTGTCCTCCTGGATGACGAGAGTGGTGGCTTCAGCAAGGGCGCCTTGCTTGGATGTGCTGTCCGTAGGCGCTCATAGGCGTTCATTAAACCTGGACTTGAGGCGATATCATCGACTTCCGCTACCAGAAGTACTTGGCAGAGGTGGGATCACATTTTGGACTTGGATGGCAGGGCGATCCTCGCTTTTGTTTGAGAGCACAGTTCTTGTTTTGAAAGAAGTTGGCAACCCAGTTGAGGTTCCCCGGGACAAAGCCGTGTGGATGGTCCCAACGTCCCAACGACCCTTTCAGCCTTAAAACCCCTTGCTCTTTTTGTTGGCAGGGGAGGCTTGAACAAATGAGGATGGGAGCGGTTCCGTGGGTTGTGGGTCAGTTTTCAATGTTCCTTCAATGAAACCGGTTAATTGTCGGGTTGCTCTTTGGGTCTCCGAACGGCCCAAACCACAAGAGAAGATGGGTTTAGAGTTCGGCCTTGACAATTCTCACTTGCCCAAAGCCGACCTTTTGACATTTCGGTTTCCCCTCTTTGGATTTGTTTGGCCCTGGCCCCAACAAGCAACTAATTATTTATTTCTGGGTCACTGGGAAATTAAAACCTGTTTCTGGAGCTTGCGTACACCCGTGCTCAGCGCGCTTTCACGGTTTCAGATTGATTTAAAGCGCATCCTCACTAGCATTGCCTTGGAGTTTTTGCGCACTTGCACCTTGTTTGCACGTTCCTCAAGCCATTTTGTGCTCCAATGCACCCAGCCCAGTTTCGGGGGTTGGATCGCATCGGCGATTGGCGAGGTGGTGCCCATCATGCTGACCCACAACGTGGGCTTCAAGGGCGCGGCAGGGGCCCCAAGGGTTTCGAGCTTAGGATGCAGAGGGTGTGCAGAAAAGCTACCCGAATGTGTGTGTGTGTGTGTGTGTTGCTTTGCGTTGCGTTGCGTTGTGTTGCGTTGTGTTTTCAGGCGAACCTTGCAACAGATGGAGAAGCGCAATTGTTGGGGTCCCTGAGTTGGAGACATCCAAGATGTAGCTTCAACACCACATTCAGTCAAGATATACGATGCAGGCCTCAAGTGGCAAGTTCTTAGCCCCTTGTGGTTTCACTTTTTGAGTTCCCGGGCTTGAAGGTTTTTGGACCATTTTGGTGCTGAAAAGTGTGGACTTATTATGGTTCCATTCCATGGTGGGCCATGGAACCGCCCCTTTTTGGGGCCATGTTGATTTGCAGGGGGCACCCTCCCCCAGAAACAGGGCACACGAAAGGGTGGAGGGAAAACGGTCCAAACCAGGATTGCCCAGAAAGAGAGGCGCCTGGGCGGAATCTCAACACAGCGCCTGCATTGCAGGGATCCACAAGAGGCTTTCTATCTTGCCCAGATGGATCCCAACGAGGGGCCCCGGTTTCAGTGCGTCGAAATGGAGCGTCTGTGGGCCATGTGCCTGGCATCGTTGTTGGAGTGCTTTGGATCCCGGATTTTCAGAAACACATGCGCCACCAGGTGGCATGTGAGTATCAGGCAAAAACCTCTCCATGCAAAGCATTGTCTCTTGAGGTTTTGCGCCAGCATGTCAGCGAAAGGGTGCAATTGTAACGCTGTAAGGGCGCCCTAAATCTCTTCTCCGCACTGCTCTCCCTCACTTCGTCTACTACTTTCGCGCTGAAGCATTGCAACTTTTGAGGAGCTGTCGAGGCATAGTTCTGTCCTGTGTCCGTGCCGAAAAGTTGGAACCTGCGCGGCGGAGCTGCCGAAGCGCTAGTCGGGAGCATTTGATTCCGACGCACGAGTGTTTCTTTTTTTTGAATACCACCTACGGCGTTTTCGATTTTTGCGACGCACCCGTATGGGTGTGTCTTTTTGAGGGTATCTCTTTTTTGATTTTGAAGGGAAACCAAGAGGACCAACCTCCAGTTTTGGGGGTCCCAGAAAAAAGAGAGACCCATACTCATGGACCCCTAGGCCAGGGGCTATGGGGGGGAGGCCCTCCCTAGATAAGCCCAGGCCTTAATAAGGCCTTAAGGGTTTCAGGGATCCCCCTCCCCCTGGAGGTCCATTCCTTCTCAGACAGCTTGAAGTCAGGGGCTGCATGGATTATGCAGGTCGACATACTCGCGAGCAAGAAGTCCAGCCACCTGCCTCAGCGTCCACGGGTTTTGCATACAGTATGACTTCCCTATGTTTGGAATACCCATCACCCAAGCTCAAGTGAGCTTCCTTTTTGCGGGATGTCGAAAGGGGAAAGCTGTGAATTCCTCTGAGACTTGTGACCTGCGTTCCAACCTTCCAACCGCAGATACAACGCGACCGCCAAATTCGTCGGCCAATGGCCAGCATTTTTGGGCGCAAGACCCGCAAGCACTTTTGAACCACAGCTGCCCCCCTTTTCCAAGTTGCTTTTCCCTCGCAGCAGGATGCTGCCTTACTGTTTCACCACCAGCAAGGGCTTGCTACAAGGTGTGTCCACGCAGTGATGTTCTGCTTGATTCCGAAATTGCCAATTAGCATAGTGCTAGCTGCAGTTCAGGGAGGTCAATTGAGCCTATCTGCGGGTCTTTTTGTGCAGGTCAGGAAAAGACTGGACATAAGACCGTTGGCCCAACTGAACACAGAGCATTGTGCAATTCGCCCTACCAAAGTCCAAACTCTCACAATTGCTGACATTCACAATCGCATGGCCGTGGACACTGCTCTTCCTACAACCTGAAACCACCATTTTACAATTTTTGGTTTCCCAGCCAGCCGTTTCCTATGACTTGACCTTCTTGATTGAAAATCGCGGTTTGGGAGGGCGCCATTTGCAAATTGGTTGTTTCAGGTTCCAGGAAAACCGACTCTGACGAGGCACCCGGCCAGAGACCCGTGCTCGAAGAGGCTCGACGCGGCGCCACTGCGCCACTGTTTGCTTGCGTTGGTTCGAAATGTCCACGTGTGTGTCTATGTAATATATAGTTCTGCCAACGCAAGATGAATAGATAAACACATATATATATATTATATTATATATAGAGAGGTAGTTGAGAGTATATATTTATTTATATATAGAGTGTATATCTGCAAGATTCATTTTTGGATGGGCAAGTGCATGCAAGCTGTACGTGCTCGGTTTGGAGCTTTTGGGCCAGGAAGCCCCAAAGCCGTGAAGCTGCGGGAGGCCGGGCTCGGGCTTAGTCGGCCCTTTCAGCTTTCTGCCTGGCTGAAGGTGAGTCTCCCAGAAAAAGCAAAAGTGTGACGTACTTTCAAGAGGAGTCCTACCCTAAGGGGGTTTAGTCCACATCCTGGGAGCTCCCAGCCGAGAAGGCCTGTTAAGGGGGCCAGAAGGCCAGAGGCGGATGTTGCGCCGCACTTCACCGCTCACCGCGGAGTGCCCACTTTCTCCTGATTGCTGGATCGCCTCATGTTTTCTTGACTTTCCCCAAAGGGCTTTTCCACAACCGGCGACCGGGGAGGTGTTCATTTCTCGATTTTTCCAGGGCTTTTTCCCGGAAATAGATAGGTGTCCTTTTTGGTTGGTTTGCTTAAAAAATACAGGTTGAGATGGGGTTTATTCCATTTACCAGGGAAACCCATCTATTTTCCCAAAAGGCCACCTATGTGGAAGCTCCCA